CTTCTTTCCTTCCTTCCTTTTTTCCTTCCTTCCTTCTTTCCTTCTTTCCTTCCTTCCTTTTTTCCTGTTTTTCTAAGTGACAGCACATCTTTCTCTTCTTAGTAAGAAGTATAGAAGAGCTAGTGTGCACTGCGAACATGTATCATTAGCACTGCGAAAATCTTCTAATAATACATTTAAAGGATAAGAAAAGGAGAGAAAGAAATGGCCTATTATTACTACCTCCAGAAAATCATCGAATTCTTTCTTTTTCTTGATTTTCTGCTTAATCAGATTTTCTGCTGCATCGTAGTTGTTGCAGTACGTGGCGTAGATTTTGAATCGATCACCCTGGGTGAGAAAGAACGCATTGTGAATAAATGGATAAATGGATGGGATGGATGGATAGATGGGATTGATGGATGGTTGAATGGATAGATGGCATTGATGGATGGATGGAGGGATGGATGGATGGATGAATGGATGGATGGATGAATGGATGGGATAGATAGATGAAAGTATGGATGGGATTAATGGATGGATGGATAAGATTGATGGATGGATGGATGGATGGATGGATGGGTGGGATTGATGGATGGGATTAATGGATGGATGGGTGGATGGATGGGATTAATGGATGGATGGGATTAATGGATGGATGGGATTAATGGATGGATGGGATTAATGGATGGAGATGGATAAGATGGATGCATGAAGGGTGGATGTATAGTTTGATGGGTTTCATAGGGTGAATGCAACAAATAAATAAGTATATTTCAAAAGCTATCATACATTATCAACAAAGACATCTCCTATCACTTGGGTATCCTTCCAGTGATTCACTTTCTCACATAGCGAGAAAAGAATATCCTTGTTCACCTTGAATATCCTTGAGGAGCAAAGCAACATAACAAATTATCCAAAATCAGAAACTCATAAAGGGGTAGAAACATGTAACAACAGCCCATACATTTATTTTGGACGATGTTCCGGAAACGTCCGTGATAAGCTTCTGTCAAAACATTGTACGTAAACCCAAAAGGAGGAGGAGGAGAGAAATGACGAACGATAAGGATAAGAGGAATGAAAAAAGGTGAAGGAGAAGGAGAAGGGAGAAGGGAGCGAGAAAGGAGAAGGGAGAAGGGAGGAGCGAGGAGCGAGGAGGGAGGAGGGAGGAGGGAGGAGGGAGGAGGGAGGAGGGAGAAGTGCTTACTCATCTATATTTGAAAACATTGTCACTTTCTCTTTTGGTTCCAAGTACTCCTCCAGCTGGTTCTTGAACAGCTAAAAACAAAATTAAAATATTAACAATTTTGCTCTCTCAGCCTCTTAATAGACGTCACAGGACAAAACGAAAGAATTTCAATCTCCTGACAACTGGAACCCTTTTGTTATATCCTCCAAACTGAGCTGCATTCCGACGTGTGCGAGGGGTCTATGTAATTCCTGATTGGTCTCACCTCAATAACAATCTCCAAGCCTCTCACATAAGTTCTTTCAGTGGTGTACAATTCCAGGGCTATTTGAGCTCTTTTGTCAGTAGGAAAGGCTGGGAAGCTCGCAGGTAGGGCGTCTGTTACTAAGGTTATTATTTCATCACTCTAATCAATAATCRATAAAGAATAATTAATTAAGGTGGTTTTAGGGTATGATAAAACATACCAAGCAGAGAGTATTTATCAATCGGCTGAACGAAACTCATGAATCTCATTACCAGCCTACATTGACAGGCAAACATTGCCCGTCATATGTTATCCACCAGAGAGTATTCTATAGACCGCTTTCTCAAGGTTGCGTGTGCATCCAAATTTAAGGAACTTGACGGAAATTTTTTTTCGATAAGAATTMAAAAAATTGATTATTCCACTCTTTAAATATCAAACTGGCTTCTCAATTTTACTGAATTTGCGTTTTTCAATTTTGTGGCCCGTCAAGATTGGATGCGCACGCAACCTTGAGAAAACGGTCTATTGCTTGGTATCAATCAGCTGAATGAATCTCATGAATCTCATTACCAGCCTACAATGACAGGCAAACACTGCCCGTCATGTGAAATCAACCAGGGAGTATTCTATTGCTTGGTATCAATCAGCTGAATGAATCTTATTACTAGCCTACAATGACAGGCAAACACTGCCCGTCATGTGCTATCAACCAGAGAGTATTCTATTGCTTGGTATCAATCAGCTGAATGAATCTCATGAATCCCATTACCAGCCTACAAATACAGGC